AGCCACCTCTTGTGCACACCACTGTTGCAAGTTAGTTTGCTGTCCAGACCCTGCCCATATCCACCCACCGCTGAAACCAGCTCTAACCGCCCTCACTTCCCCCACATGTAGGTGGGGAACTGCCTTTCAAAGGTTTCTCACTCTGAGTTTTGGTGTGACGAGCCTCAAAAGTTCTCCTTTTAATTGGACGTTTTATTTTTTACCCCAGTTTTATTGTGGTATAATTGACATATAGCATTATATTAGTTTAAGTGTACAACACAATGATTTGATATATGTATATATTTTGAAACGATTACTAATATGACTGATTAATTGGACATTGTAATTGAAGGGCAATGCGTTCCATAAAACTTGGAATTGGAAGGAATTACCCCAAATCAGAACATCAAAACAGAACCTTATTTTTATATATTTCTTGCCATTTTCCTCCTCTAAATATGTAATGTTTTTTTTTTAAACATGACTGCCAATTCAGTTTTAATTATATGTTTACTACTTTCTCCCCACTTAACATATACATAGCTATGTTTTCCAAGTTGCTAATCACTCTTTAACTGCTCCGTGGTTTTTTCAGGCATAGATTAACATTATTTGCGTTTGGGTAAGGAAGAAACTGAGAGACCTGCCCAGGGTCATGCGCCCAATAAGGGGGTGGGTGTGTCGGGACCAGCCCTGGGCTGCTGGCTGGCTTCGTGTGGTGTTGGCCATGCGGGATATGGGGCATTTTCTGTTCACCTGGGACTTTTCATCTTTGGAAATTAGCTCCAACAGGACTTCTCTGGACAGCATTTACAGAGTGCTTATTTCTGGCTGGCTGGTCCTCTGATTTCCCTGCCGTGACCTTTCCTGCTCAGCCTCAGCAGTTTCTCTTCTTCTGAGGATCCTCCCACAGTTTCCATATGAATGGGAGTGAGGCTGTCCCGTTGTGTGCCTCGACTCCATTGTGCCCAGGGAGTGTTAGGGCCAGGGCTAACAGCCGAGGCGATGCTGTGGACTCTCGCCCTCTTGCCCTCGCTCCTGAGCTTCTTGCAGGTGACCCGAGCCCGTGAGTGGGGGACTGGAGGCGGGGGCTGGGCTGGGAAGAGTTGCAGGGGAAACCCAACAGGAGAGAGAAAGAATCCAAACTGGAGCCTCAGGGCATCTGGAAGCTCAGAGGTGACTTTTAAAATCCTGACGCAGGCGGTCACAGGCTCAGCATTGGGCAGACTCTGGCTAAGAAGGGCATGTGGTGCAGACAAGAAAGAAGCTGGCTGATCTCTGAGCCAGGCTGGAAGTCATGAATTCTGTACCCCTGCTGTGCTCAAAATAGGTGTTCTGCTCTTTAAAAGCCAGTTAGAAGAGAGAGGCTTGTTGAATACTTAGAAGGCCAACCCACAGCCAGAAGCAGGAGTTTGGGACTGATGGTATCCAATGTAAAATTATCCTTCTTAGAGTTTAAAGTGCATGTTTGTTTATTTATTTATAAAGCATATAGATGTTCTACCGTACCAATGCATTATACAACTCATAAAATACGTATAAAAACAGAAACTCAAAAACATGGAATAAAATACAATAATTTAAGTATTTTTATTTATTATAAATACAAAGAATATTTTTGCCCTTACAAAATTGTTAATTATAATATTTTTAACTGAGAGCAATGTGACTGATTATGCTTAATCATTTTTGAAAATTATACCTTAACAATTTGTGATATAGCACTTTGATGGTCTGGTTCTAAGGTGAGTTCATTTTGATCCTTGGTTAATGATGGTGTAGGGGGAAGAGGGAGAATCATCCCCACCCTTTCCCTTAGGGTTCTTATGGCTGGCCAAATAATTAAAAAAGCAGGTTAGCAGGAGAAAACAAAACAAAGTTTAATAACATGTATACATGGGAGAGACCCAGGGAAACTGAGTAACTCGACAAAATGGCAGAGGTTCTCATCTTAAATACTATCTTCAGCTAAAGACAAAGGAGGATGTTGGGGGTGGGGGGAGTCAGCTATGGGAGATTACCGAAAAAGTACAGTAAACAAGAGTAAGGTTAATATGCAGATTTAAGTCCTGGCCTTCCATGCAGATAAGAGTTTCTAGAGATAAGGTCATCCCTCCTCCTTCTTGGCATGGAGAGGGCGATACCTTTACAAATGAAGATTCCCCTTATAAATGTAAATGTCTCTTACAAAGGGTAACTTCTACCTTTACTTGGTTTTCAGAGCTTTGATAAGAATGGGCTCAGCAAGGACCCTCCCAGTCTATCCATACCCAGAGTTATCTATGGTGATGGCCTGTCCTGGGGACGGGCCTTCTATCTTAAATTCTTTCAGACAGTTAGTGGGGGAGAGGTCAAAGTTTCTTTCTGAGTCTTCTGAGCCTTTATTTTCTTCAGTTCAAAATAATCTGCATACCAGAATGGCACATTTTAGGGTGGCCTGCCCTGAACCCCATCAATGGTTAGAGCTGAAAGAGATCACATGCACACACATCTTACATTCAAATGGAAGAAGTGCATGATTAATGTACTCATTAAAATTTGACTCATCCAGGAAAATCCCATCCCTAAATTATGTAAAGGTCTCCCATCGTCCCTCCAGCTACTGTATTTCTATTTTCCCTTATGCAAACTAGTGAGGAGCCATTGTCCCCAGCCTTAGGGCTCCTAGCATGGTTGGGCAGCAGCTGTTGTGGAACTTCAGAGTCTAGAGGTGCACCAGGTGAAGGGCAGGATCATAACTGCTGAGTGAAATGTTTTCCCACCAGCAGTCAACAGCTTGATGGAAAATGAAACAAAATCTTGATATTCATATCTGGCACCCGAGTGATTTGTGGGATTTTCCCCAAGAAGTAGGGATGAAGTACACAGACCACTCTGTTTTTTTATAGAGTCTCACCTATTTGTGAGCAAGAAAGATGAGTTCTAATGAAAGCTTTGCTACTAAGCCTCAGTTTTCTCATCTCTAATGTGGAGTTTAAATGTCTACCTCACATGGTTATTAAAAGAATTAAAACAAGGAAATAAAAGCATACACTACAGAGCAACACATTGGTAATTTTCAGGAAACAGAATTTTTTTCTGTGCAAACCTAACTGGTCTGGTGAGGGTGTTTAATGGGAGTACGGTGTGAACACTTCCATATGTCCACTGTCTGGGTCCCAGGAAGGACTTCCTGACTTGACTCAGCAGAGGCTTCTCTATGGGGTCCAGAGCTGGGTATGGTCAGAGTCAGTTCACAGTGAGAGAGGCTTGCTCACCAAAAGAGGAGTCCATGCCGAGGGGCAGAGGTGGAGAGGTTCTTCTTAAAAGGGAAAAATACTGCTAAAAGCATATAAATAATTTGAATAAGTAATTTAGAGAAGAATAAATTCAGTTGGCCAATAAATATGAAATTATGTTCCACTTCTCCAATTATAACAGAAATAAATTAAAACTGTATGTATATATTTCAACCTCTCCTGTTGATGTGGGTGTAAACTGAACCTTTTTGTGGAGCAATTTGATATACATATTAATATTCAAAATAACCTTTGATTCAGCATTTCTGCTTAAATAAGGAATTTATAGAAACATTCCCTTTAGTGTGCAAAGAAATAAGTACTACTTACCACCACTTAACGTATGTATGGCTACATTTTTTCCAGTTGCTAATCACCCTTTTAACTGCTCCCTGGTTTTTCATGTATAGATTAACATTATTTGCATTTGGGTAAGGAAGAAACTGAGAGACCTGCACAGGATCCTAAGCCCAGCAAAGGTGTGGGTCCAGCTGGACCAACCCTGGGCTGCTGGCTGACTTGGTATGGTGTTGGCAATGTGGGATGGGGGGCAATTTCTGTTCGCCTGGGACATTTCATCTTCTATGGAAACCGGCTCCAATGGGACTTCTCTGGATAGCATTTACAGAGTGCCTATCTCTGGCTGGATCGTCCTCTGATTTCCATCTCCCACCCAGAGAGGGAAGTGACTACCCCAGAAAACAGAGGGTGTGGAAGGATTGGAATTTCCTTTCTCTGAGGCCAATATGTGTTCTACAGTGACAGCGAAGATGAAGGGGATATTGGGGAGAGAGCAAGAGAATAGTCGGGAGTTGAGATACTGCAACATCATAGTTGGGGACCCAGAAGAGGGTCCCATTTCCAGTAAACTCATACCTTAGTCCAAGCTATGAGAATATTTCTAAAACTCCTCCACTTCTCTAGATCCCTCCACTTCTTCAAGTCCTGCTCAAGGACAGCTCTTCATGGATACTTTTCTCATGAAGGTGTTGTACTAATAAGTCTTTTTTGTTTCTCTTGTCAATGTAAAATAACCAATAACCATTCTATAGATAAGAGAAATAAGGTGAGTTTACTTGAGCTAGAGTGAGGATTATAACCGGGGAAGGCCTTAGAAAGTGTTCCAGAGAAGCATGGTTTTCAGTACAGTCTTATATCTTTTTAGAACGAAGAACATACATTAAACACACCCAGGATACATTTGTATCAAAATTTCAAAGAGGTATTCAATTGCAAATTAGCAGGTCAATGTGACCATGATGTCAGGAAAGGGACTAATTTGGGTGTTACCAATAGGGCGTTGGGTGTTACCAATACGGGGCGGAGGAGGGGAAGTATGCATTCTTATCTTAAGAGAGTGTATTCTTTACTTTAATGGTTAAGCAGATGTACAATGTATGTTTGATAGGCCATAAGTCAGGCTTTTTAGTTCAAGCCAAACTAGTTTTGAGCTTGAATAGTTATCCCATATACCTCAATATGTGAAAATCTCTTGTCACTCTGAATTCTCTCAGTGCATACTTGGTGTGGGATTTGGATTCTTTTATGAAGGGGGTTGTTGTATAATTGTTTTTCCATTGTTTTATGTTGTGTGTCCTCTCTCTCCTGTTGTACACACACAGACACACACACACACACTCACATGGACATAAATACTCATCCCCCACACGTTGGGAAGTGGGTCCTCACTCATAAATACTGGAGCTTGCTCTGATCCACATTCTCTGGTTCCTACCTCAGGATCGCACTCTCTGCAGTATTTCTACTCGGCTGTGTCTGAGCCAGGTCCAGGAGTCCCTGCATTTACTGCCTTTGGCTTTGTGGACAATCAACCTTTCATCCGCTATGACAGTGAAGAGATGAAGGCAAAATCTTGCGTTCAGTGGCTGATGGAGGAGCCAAGTTACTTTGACGATGAGACCAATATCTTCACAAATCGGATGAAGATTTTCCAGTTAAATTTGAGGAATGTGCAGCGATACTACAACCGAACCACGAAGCATGGTCTGAACAAAGAACACCCACAAAAACAAGCAGGTGGGTGCCTGTGAGAAAGCAGGGGCAAGCAATGCTCATTACTTCACCCCAATCCCCAGGGGTGGGAGACCCTCTTGACAGCTATTCCCATAGGGTCAGGTGGGGCAGGCAACTGTGCACAAGCTATCACTTGAAAGTGAAGGCCGGCCCAGTCTAGTCACAAGGGGGCAGGATCTATTTGACATTTTTCTTTTTTCCCTTTTTTCTCCCCAAAGCCCCAGTAGATAGTTGTATGTCATAATTGCACATCCTTCTAGTTGCTGTATGTGGGACATGGCCTCAGCATGGCCGGACAAGTGGTGCGTCTGTGCGTGCCTGGGATCTGAACCTGGGCCGCCAGTAGCGGAGCGCGCGCAATTAACCGCTAAGCCACGGGGCTGGCCCTCTGTTTGACATTAACTAATTAATTCAACGGTCTCATTGGGTCATGGATACATGCTTTGCACATATCTTTTGGACACTGTAAGTGGGGAACCGGAAAAGTATAACCTGGTATTTGTCTTCTGAGAGCTTACAATTAATATGGGGAGGCATGTATACTTTTGGGAACAGTTTATTGACCCTTTGATGCACCAAGTGATGTCAAAGACCAGAACCTCCTTAAATGTCAAGTGAGACACAGAGATAATAGCTTACCAAAGTTCATAGATGAGACACTCCAGTGGATAGGGAGAGCTTCATAAATGAGGTAGAACTTTGTATAGAACCTGTTGGATATGTATGATTTGGGTCATTGAAGAAAATAAAAGATGTTCCAAGCAGTAGGAAATTAGGGTGCAGTGTGGGGTGGGATTCGACACATGAGCTCAGGGGATAGATTGTAGTTTGATAATTTTTAGTAAATGTATCCCATTTGCTTGGCACTATTGAAACAAGTTTGTGAAGGGCCTTGAATGCCAAATCAAGGCATAAATCAGTGAGAGTTATAAAGCTGAATAGTAAGACTGCCCAGCTTTTATCAGTTGCTCTTTATAGGAACATGAATTCCACAAAGGTTTGCTAGATCATTATGTTGCAGGTGCCAACATAGTCCCCACCTTCTAAGGACTCACAGCATAAGAGGAGAGAAATGATACACAATAAGGTTTGTTAGAGCGTGTAAGTGTTGGACTAGAAGCTTGACAAGGCAGACTGTGGGAGCCCAGAGGAGGATGTGGTTAATCCAGGCTATGGCAATCTCAGAGTTATTTCTATTTGATTCTGAAATTCATGCAGGAAATTTTTAAGCAGAAGCTTGGTTCTTGTTAATATTAAGTTGTTTGCCTTCTCTAGTACCTCAATGTATTAGTTTGTTTTGGCTTACATACCAAAATACCACCTACTGCATGACTTAGTAACAGAAGTTTATTTTCTGAGAGTTCTAGACGCTGGAAAGTGCAAGATCAAGGTCTGGCAGGGTTTGCTTTCTGGTGACGGTTCCCTGTCTGGCTTGCAGACGGCTATCTTCTTGCTTTCCTTGGTGTGTGCACATGGAGAGAGTGAGAGATCTTCATCTCTTCTTTCTTAAAAGGTCACCAATCTTATTGGATTAGGGCCCCACCCTCAAGACCTCATTTAACCTTAATTATCTCCTAAAATCTCCAAATACATTGCATTGAGGGTTAGAGCTTTGACATATGAATTTTGGGGGGACATAATTCCATCCATAACTCTCAAGGAAAACTATACTGAGCACATTGTGCCCTCTTACGTTAACACTGTATGTACTGTAATTCTGTTTTCAGGAACTTACACTTAGAATCTGAGAGTGTTAGCACAGGAGACCTGTGGAGTCATAGTCTAACCTTACATTTACACAAGATAAACATAGAACCACGGAGGTTCAATAACTTGTCCAAATGACACAGTCATGGCAAAGCCCAAGTTCGTAACCCCTCATCCAATGCTTTTTCAATATATTTTGGAACAGAGCATAGACCACTCCCCACTGCAGAGTTGACAGCAAGTAAAAGAGATTAGAATCAGAGGACCAAACTAGTTTGTCTAGAACATGAACGTCATCTAAGGAGAATGTCACCAAGAGATAAGGTGGAGTGAAGTGGATGGGGGAGCAGGGACCATTGATGGAAAGGCCTTGGGGGCACACTCTGCCCTTAATGACACTGCTTGGTCCTGGGGGGTGGGCAGGCACCCACACCCTCCAGTTCACCTACGGCTGTGAGCTCCGGGAGGACGGCGGGACCACCTGGCACTGGCAATATGGCTATGATGGTGACGACTACCTGAGTTTGGATGTGGACCCTCTGCAATATACGGCGGTCTCATTCATTGCCCGCTACACCAAGCAAAAATGGGAGGCCAGTGGGAACTTCATAGAGAGAGACAAGATCTATTTGGAGAAGGAGTGCATCCTGTGGCTGCAGAGATACTTGGAGTTTGGAGGGGAGAGCTTGAACCGCACTGGTAATGACCTCCCACAGCCCACCCACTCAGCTCTTCCCACATTCCCAGCTTGGGCCAGTTTTTTCTCCAGAGTGTGGGTGGGAGTATCTCCAAGAGCTGATCCAGTATAGGGGTGTAGGATGTCTAGTGTGGGATGGGAGGGACCCCTGTGCTGAGGATGTCTTCTGCACAAGCCAGAGATGTGGATTTGGGGACCCTCCCATCTTGAGTCTCCTGGGCAGTGTCATCTGACCCGCCCATTCTTCTTGGGCTCACCCTGGGGTGAAACTACTCTCAGGAGAGCACAGGGCTGGTTCCTGGGTTCTGGGAGGTTTTTCACACTTCTGGCCCTGTCCCACTAGAGCTATAGCAGCTGTGAGTGCCTATGAACATTTGTCTAGAAACATTGAGTAATAAGCTCGATGAGAGGGTGGAGAATCTTTGAAGAGGCTCTTACCCTGGAAGGGAACGTTGGACTGAGTTCCCTCACCGTTTTTTCCGACACTGCTTAGCTTAGGGCCGGTTCCATCTACCCCCGATCAAGGATGCTTCCTGCCTCGCCCTGGTTGGCAGCCAAGCCATCAGGAGTTATGGCATCTTGGTCTTTGGAGTAGATGCTGTTCAACAAGCCCTTGCCTGAGCCTCCCTGCTTTGTCTACCACAGAGCCTCCCAGAACACACGTGACCCAGCACCCCATCTCTGACCATGAGGTCACCCTGAGGTGCTGGGCCCTGGGCTTCTACCCTGCGGAGATCACCCTGACCTGGCAGCGTGATGGGGAGGACCTCACTCAGGACACGGAGCTTGTGGACACCAGGCCTGGGGGGGACGGGACCTTTCAGAAGTGGGCGGCCGTGGTGGTGCCTTCTGGAGAGGAGCAGAGATACACCTGCCATGTGCAGCATGAGGGGCTGCCTGAGCCTGTCACTCTGAAATGGGGTAAGGAGGGAGATGTGGGCATAGAGCCTCTTCCCAGGGAAATTAGGAGCCCTTCTGGGGAACTTCAGCAGGGTCGGGGCTGAGGTATGGAGTCAGGGTCCTCACCTTCTTTTCCCTTTCCAGAGTCCCCTCCTCAGGCCACCATTCCCATTTTGGGAATCTTTGTTGGCCTGGTTTTCCTTGGAGCTGTGGTCTCTGGAGCTGTGGTGGTTAGATCTGTGAGCTGGAGGAAGAAAATTTTCAGGTAGGGAAGGGGTGGGGTCTGAGGTTTTTTTTGTCCCACTGGGGGATTTCAAGCCTAGGTAGAAGTTTGCCGTGCTTCATTAATGAGAAGTACCATCCACACACATGTGCTTGTCAGTCTGGGGCCATTTGCTAACACTTACTCTTTAGTAAAGCACATGTGACAATGAAGACAAATTTATCAACTTGATGAATCTGGTGATAGGGAGCTGATTCTCAGCAGTTGAAGGTCAGAGAGGGTCACTTCTGAGGACAGATTTCTAGGTGGGTGGTTGGTGCAGTTCTCACACATCTACTTTCTTCATGTTTCCTGATCCTGCCCTGGGTCTTCAGTCATAGTTCTGGAAACTTCCCTTTGGTCCAGGACTAGGGAGTTCCTTTAGGATCTCATGACCCAGTCATCTCCTTGGCCTCTTATGGGACATTTTCTTCCCACAGACGGAAAATGAGGACGCTACACTTAGGCTACATGTAAGTTTGGGTGGGAGGAGGTGATCCCTGAGACCCCTGGGATATTGTAGACGGGAGCCCGTGTGGGGAGCTGATCCACCCCATAATTCCTCCTTCTGCCATATCTCCTCCTGTGGGCTCTGACTAGGTCCTGTTTTTGCTCTACCCCAGGCAGTGACAGTGGCCAGAGCTCTGATGCTTCTCTCATGGCTCCTAGAGGTGAGATCCTGGAGAGCCTGAAGTGGGAAGATGGCTGGAGCAGAGGCGACATGACTGCGTTATGAGGATTCTTTGAGTGGGACATTCTGAGCACATGGCAAACTGTTTAGAATGCACCACTTACAGTGGCTGATCTGAATTTATTCATGATTATTTTCTTTCACACTGAGAGACAGTGGCCTTTTGGGGGCCTGAGTGATGCATGACTGTTCATGCCCTGCCCCCCGTTGTGACTTCAAAACCCTAACTTTTCTTTCTGCAGCTGGCATCTGAATGTGTCTGCTTTCCTATCACCATGATGTGAGGAGGTGGGGAGACTGGATCACATGGGGAGACCCTGGCCGCCTCCGTGCACTGACCTGTGTTTTCTTCCCTGATTGACTTTCCTATTCCAGCAGAGGCAGGCTAGGCCATCTCCATCCCTGTCTTAATTTCATGTTGCACTAAGCTGCAACTTTTTACTTCGTTATTGAAAATGAGAATCTGGATGTGGATTTGTTTTTTCTAATCCTTTTCATGAGGTAGGGTTGGTGGGTTAATTAAAGGAGAGGAAGATTCTTAGTTTTGAAAGAATTGAATGGAAGCACTGAAAACCTCCCAGAATCTCACTCACTTCTTGGTGTGAAGAACAGAATACAAATTTTTCTGATTGAAACATAAATTCATATATATATGTGTGCATTTATATATATACACACACACATACAGTATTGGGGGCTCATTTTATTTCAAGGAAAGCCACAGAATAGTCTTGAAGCAACACAGGAACAAAATCCATAATCCCATTTTAAATTGTGTTCCACATAGGAACCACTGCCCCTGCTGCTGGGCACAGATGTTACTGTTCACACCACTGACACCCTGATGCTGGACACTAGACCTGCAGCTAGGACTGCTATTACTGCTGCTCTTGGCAACTGGATGTCGCTACTGCTACTCACACTACCTTGCTAAATGCATTCTGCACAGTCCCAGCCTCTCTGTGTCACCATGTACTCAGGAAAAATTTGAACCCTTGTGCACTGTTGATGAGAATGTAAATTGGTACATCCAAACTATGGAAAACAGTATAGAGATTCCTCAGAAAATTAAAACTAGAACTACCATATGCTCCAGCAGCCCCACTTCTGAGTTTCTATCTGAAGGAAATGAAAACAGGATCTTGAAGAGATATCTGCACCCCTATGTTTATTGCAGCAATATTTACAATAGCCAAGATATAGAAACAGCCTGAGTCCATCAACTGGCGAATGGATAAAGAAGACGTGGTGTATATATATACAGTGGAATATTATACAGTCCTGAGAAAGGAAATCCTGCCTTTTGTGAAAAGGTGGATGAAACTTGAGGGCTTTATGGTAAGTAAAATAAGTCAGATGGAGAAAACAAAAACTGTGTAATGTTACTTACATATGGAATCTAAAAAAGCCAAACTCTGAGAAACAGACAGTAGAGTGGTAGTTATTTAGTGCTAGGGGATTGGGGAAATGAGAAGATATTGGTAAAAGTGTACAAACTTCCAAGTATAAGATTAACAAGGTATGTGGATCTAATGTACATCATGGTGATTATAGCTAATAAAAACTGTATTATATAATTGAAAGTTGCTGAGACAGTACATCTTAAGTATTCTTATCACATAAAAAATGGTAATTATGTGAAAGGATAATGGTATTAGCTAATGCTATTGTGTTAACATTTTGCAATATATAAATGTATCAAATCAACACATACACTTTAAACTTACACAGTGTTATATGTCAATTATATCTCAATAAATCTGGAACAAAAGACTCTTTAAGTATGGAATTCCCCTAATGTGGGAAGAAGGTTCTGAGGGTGGAAGTTGGGGGTGAAAGGAATTGAATAAAAAAATGACAAATGTCAATTTTTGGAGCAGTGATCTGAGACTAGAACTTGAGCTGGTACATTGTAGGCACTCAAGTTTGGTTGGATGAATGAGTGACTAATAAATGACATCTTTCAACTTATTCTCTTGGTAATCGGTTATGGGGTCCAGCTTTTGTCTACTCCAGTTCATACTCTCAGATAAGTGGAGTGGCATTGTGGGATCATGAACTGATTTCTCGAATAGTCTTCTCCCTGCCTTTGTTGCTTGATAGGATTAAAAAAACATGATCCATAAGACTTCAGAGGATCCTTGTATCTACTGACATTTTATATTAACTTTTATATTTCTGTGTGTGGGCACGTATTTCTGGGGAGAGTATCCGTTGCATTCATCAGTTTTTATGTGACCCCTCCCCCCCAAAAAAACCCTCAAAATCCATTGTAGTTTAGACACTGTGCTATTCGAACTCTGGTCTATGAACAGCTAACAACCAAACTATTTTTAGCAGTCCTGAGAACATAATATAAGCGCTCATCTTTTCCTTGACAATTACCGACCTGGGACAAGATAAGGTAAAGGTTTATTTGCTTACACTCACTTTCAATTTCTGTATGCATCTTATTGCGGGCTGGTAACAAACACCTCACAGGCCAGTGCTGGCTCCCAGACTGCACTAAGTAGCATTGTTTTAGGTGGATTTGTATTCTAGGACCTACCCTGGTGCCAGATGAGTATCAGGAATCAATAAATAGTTAATGAGAATTCCATTTCAATAATATAGTAGGCTACATTTCAAGGCTGCCTCTTCTACTGAAAACAATTGAAAATAATAGATAAAATACAAAAAGCATCCAAAAGTATAGTAGAAAAATCAAGAGAAAAATTATTTAGGCCAAAATATAAATGTGGGCAATAGTCCAGAGAGAAAAGTTATTTTTATCCTTTGGGCATTTGCCACATTTGGAAAAAATCTTAGCTTTGGTTTTCTCAGGCTCATGAACTGCAATACACAGGACTGATGCCCAGAGCTTATTCATGTGGGGAGCATAAGAGACATCCCCTCCCTGAAAATCTGGGGAAACAGATTCATATCCTCAGAGTAAGGGTGAAACAAAACAAAGTCTGCTTCATCCCCTAATATAAGAGTATTCCTAGGAAATTTGCCTTTGAGCCAGCAAAAAAGGAAGCAAACAACTGTTTCTGAGAATTTGTAACCACCAGCTAGCACTCCTGTGACTTGTAGTCCAAATTTACTTGATCATTTTGGGCCAAATAACCTCAAGCTGTGATTATAATTGTCCTGGACTCATGATGATCTAAAAATTGAAAGAAAGAAAAAAAAATATCTAGAGAAATCCATATTTAACCGAGGTGTCAAAGAATTTACACAAATAATTGCACAAGGAAAAAAAACGGCTCATGGCAAGAAATGTATAAGTACAAGTGGAAAAAAGACTACGACTGAGAAGCAGTAGAAAAAAGGATAGTGTAAAGAGGCTCATAAAATTTCATTATTGAAATTATGAGACATAGAATATAGGGGCTGGCCCCATGGCTTAGCGGTTAAGTGCGCGGGCGCCGCTACTGGCGGCCCAGGTTTGGATCCCAGGAGCCACCGACGCACCGCTTCTCCGGCCATGCTGAGGCTGAGTCCCACATACAGCAACTAGAAGGATGTGCAACTATGACATACAACTATCTACTGGGGCTTTGGGGGGAAAAATAAATAAATAAAGTTTAAAAAAAAAAAAGAAGGAGAATTGAGGTCATTAAAAAAAAAAAACTAATTAAAAAAAGAAAATATAACAAAACCAGGATTAAATGATAAAATTGAAAATGCCTTCAGAGCATAGGAAACCAAATGTAACCTAACTAGCTTTCACAAGAACCAAATATAGTTCTTAGAAATTAAAATTATAATAATTTGAATTAAAAACTTAGTTCATGGTCTTTTGCTTTGGGCCATGATGGGGTAACAAGGACCAGATTTACTCTTCTGTCTTAAACAACCACAATTTCAGATAAATATATGAAACAATGGTGTTCAGACCTTGGACAACAGGCAGCACAAGAATTTCATCCCTAAGAGAAGAAACCAAAAGAGGTGAGGCCTATGATTCTCCACCTTCCTTCCTGGAAAGTGTTTCCAGGACACTGTGCTGGGAGGAGGAGCCTAAACAGAGCCCAGGAGTCTCATTGAATTGACAGGACAGAGTTGTGAACTGGGGAGGCCGTGACAGCCATAACTGAAGGTGAAGGCACATAGAGAAGAGAGCTGAACAGAAAAAGCACTGGAAGTCTGCAGAGGGTTCCCCTTAAGTCTTCAGCTCATCAGTCCATGCATGTAAGGAAATTATCCAAGGACAGAGAAAGACTAACCCAGAAAGACTATGGGGAACAGTACCTATAGCTCTATAGGTCTAGGAATAGTGCCTGTTCCCACCAGCCAGACTGGAGAACCTTGTAATTTTCTGGGCATTGGGTAGAATATGCAGAAGAGTCTTGTGTCAGCAGTTGGTGATAATTTGCTTTGATCTAAACATTTTTTTGTTTTGCCTAACGAGTATTAAAAGCAAGACCCAAAAGGATCCAACAAGTTCCAAATAACTTATGTCCCAAAAATAAAAGCTGAAGAATACTTGTGGAATGCATAAATGTCTAGCATCTAATAAGGTAAAATCATGATGTCTTGTATCAAATAAAAAATAACCAAGAATGCAAAAAAAAAAAAAAAAGAAAAAAATACGACCCATAAGGCCATAAATTAGTTATACAGAAAAGAATCAATTTATTTTTTAATTTTTTTATGTTACTGCAATAAAAAATAAATTAAAGAAAATGAAAATAAAAAAAGAATCAATTTAAACTAAACTAGATCTGACACAGATGTTAGAATTAGCAGACAATGACATTAAAACAGTTATTGTAAATGTACTCCTATGTGGAAAAAGTTACATAAGAGACATGAAAGATATATGAAAGATCAAACCAAAATCAAACTCCTAGAGATAATAATGTCTGATTTGAGAAATACACTGTATGAGAGATGGAGTTAATGGTAGATTGGACAATACAGAAAAAAGATCAGTGACCTTGAAGACATACTAATACACACTCTCCAAAATCATACAAATTAATAATCTTTAAAATTTATTGTT